CAGTGTTTTTATAACTTATACTAGCTTATGTCCCCGAGTCCGCGTGGACATGAAACAAAAGTGTAACACATAGGTTACGTGTTCTTCCACTCTCTCTACAATTATGCCAAATTTCATCGAAATCTGTTCAGCCGTTTAGGCTAGAAATTCTAACAAATATCCATCCATCCATCCATCCATCTAAACTTTCGCATCGTAGTATGATATGATAAAAGAATAAAAAAATGCATTTTTTTTAATTTCTAACTTTTCGAATACACACAAAACCACAGAGGATACCCTCTTCAAGGTTGTTTATGTTTTTATTTAATAAATGTCTTTGATTTCAGTTGAAGAAATGTGCAACAAGCGTACCAATGTGGATCCTACTATCGAGGCTGGAGGAGAAACTGAAACACGTCACTAAAGCGAGGTCTGTGCTAGAAAAAGCAAGGTTAAGAAACCCTAAGAACCCGGAACTTTGGTAAGTACAATTTACTATCACTAACTGTCGCCCGTGATTCCGTACGAGCGGAATTAAAAATTAAACAGTTTTCTACATGTATTAGTTAACTTCATGCAGATCCATAGAGTTGTTCTAGAGATATCTTTAAAAAAATCATTCATCCATCCAAACTATCGTGTTTATAATATTAGTAAGATTTAGTCCTTTCAAATCTTACTTTCTACTAATATTACATAAGTTCAGTTGAATGGATGGAAGTTTATTAGAATTAGCCTAAACAGCTGAACAATATGCTATGAAATTTGGTACAGATGTAGAGGATAAACTGGAAGAACACATAGGCTACATACTTTTATTTTTATCTTCATTCCACACGGACGAAGTCGTGGGCATAAATTAGTTACTCTAATTTTTTATCACTCTTGAAAAAACTTATCAAACGTTTGCTTTATCAAATATCAAGCTTAAAAATGTAAAAAAGAACAAAAAAAAAGTGTAGTGCTGGTTGGATGAACGCAGGTTGGAGAGCGTGCGGCTGGAGCGGCGCTGCGGCGCTGCGGACATCTCGAGCGCGGTGATGGCGAAGGCGCTGCAGGAGTGCCCCGCCGCCGGCCGGCTCTGGGCGGAGGCCATCTTCATGGAGTGTCGGCCGCAGAGGAAGACCAAGAGTGTAACACATTTCACTTGTCATTTCAGTTAACATCTTTAGGGTCGGTCCCACCACTGGCTGATAGAGGCTCAGCTAGCTTAAAATGATCTCTGTCAGATAAATTAACAAAATCGGATATTTCCATCACATATTTTACATGTTGGATTATTATCAGTCAGTAATTTTGGTGGGAAAGGCCCTTAAAGATAAAAAGACGGTGGTTTTTGGAAACACCGTTTATTAACTTCTTGTTTGGCTACACTTAAGTGTGAAAGCCAAGAAAAAAAAACTTGTTAATTTATACTATGCAATCGAACATCTATTCGTTTTTGTAATCAAATTCAGTAAAAACATGCCCAAAATTCTCCGGGCGGAAATAAAAAAAACTTAGGAATTAGCTTTTATTTATCCAGACTTTGTTCAACATCCATAACTATGTTCTACATCACAAATTTCATCGAGATCCGTCAGTCTGTTTTCATAATATCAAATATCCATCCATCCAAATTTTCAAATTTACCTTGATGTAATCTGCCCAAGGAATTCTTGCCATAGGAAAAATATTGAACTAATTTCTTGATGATAAAAAGGCTCCTAGATAAAGGTTTTTATATTCTTGGTTATATAAATATGTTTGTTTCAGGTGGATGCATTAAAAAAATGCGAGCACGACGCGCACGTGCTGCTGGCGGTGTCGCAGCTCTTCTGGACGGAGAGGAAACTCAACAAGTGCCGCGAATGGTTCAACCGCACGGTAATGTTAAGAAAAAAATTAGTACCATGTTGTAGAATTGGCGCAACTCTAGATTATCGGTATAAACGTTACGTCCCTAGCTGACAGCTGTCAATGTCACTAGAAGTATGGACAGATTTGGCGCGCATCCTAAGTCGTGACAAGAAGTGTTGCTCTGAGTTTAAAGCGACAGTATCAATTAAATAAATTGTCTAAAAGTAAATACACTTATATTAACTTTATTATAATAATAGAATTAAAATGCTACTCATGTTATTGAGTCCTGATATATGATGGAAATGCCATTTTTTAAAAGAAGAGTATAACGTGAACCAGGGGAGGGAAGAGGAAAGGAAAGAAAAGAGGAAGGATCGCCTTTAAGTGGGTTTTTAAACAATCAAGTCTAACATAAGACACCTTCCCTTTTGAAGAACCCTCCCTCCGATACCAAAAATGGCAACGGATTTGGACCTGTATCGTCTAAATTGGCAGAAGAAAAAAGTCAAGTTTTTGATAATTTTTTTATGATTATTTTTGGTACACCTAAGGATCTTCTAAATAATAAAATAAAAAAACTGTTTACAGTTTTCAGGATTACATTTAAAAATAATTCCTCCAAACAGGTAAAAATAGACCCCGACTTAGGCGATGCGTGGGCGTTCTTCTACAAGTTTGAGTTGCTCCACGGCACGGAGCAGCAGCAGGAGGAGGTGAAGAACCGCTGCAAGAGCGCGGAGCCGCACCACGGCGAGCAGTGGTGCCGCGTCTCCAAGGACATCGCCAACTGGTGCTACAGCACGGAGCAGGTGCTGCTGCTGGTGGCCAGGGACCTGCCCGTGCCCACGTAGGTAACCAGTATAACTTGGTCTCTTGATTTGTAAAGTTTTTCTTGAAGTGTTAGTTTTAATATGGATAAAAAAGGACACTAAACAAATGAAAAAGTGATAAGGAAAATTGTTAATTTAGTAGTATTTGTGGGAGTTTCCCGTTGGGCCGATCACTCGAAGGTCAATCGGCGATGGGAATTTTTTTATTTACCAGGTTGCCTATGTAAATTCAATCGACCTAATGGGAAAATATCTTATTCAGTCCATCAGCCCAACGGGAAACACTTGAGTAAAGTCATATTGTCAATTGTTAATATTGTAGTCTAAGACATTAGTATAGATTTTATGGATATGTCTTGTATACCAAAACTCAAATAAAAATTTGTATAATTCATCAGTATGTATTTCTGCAAATCTTAAACTATTAAATAAAACAAACTAATGTACAAGCATTGATATATCATTTTAATTATGCTATAGACGATATTTTTTTTGTTACAAATGTAATATGTAATGAATGACAATTTAAAAATTCCTTAGTACAATTGACTATCTGGAATAGTCGTGTTGCTCCATTTATATATGAAAAGTATTAAGTTTTAAGATTAAGGGCCTGTCCCACAAAATTTCAAATTGTCTGATAACAATCCAACATGTAAAATATGTGATGGAAAGGATTTTGTTACCTTATCTGACAGTGACGTTATTTTTAACGCTATCTGAGCCTCTATCAGCCAGTGGTGGGACAGGCCCTAACTATACAAATAATACTGAACTTGCGGCGCCGTGCCGCCTGTGTGGCATGTCTCGACCATACACTTATCTTAAGTTTATCTCCTAATAGTAATATATAAGTATTTTTAATCTTTTGTTTTATTTATAATTAAACCATTTAACTTTAATTGTCAATCAATTAACTCATTAGATTCATTTTATAATCAGCAGGGAAAAATATATCTTTGGACGGTCGTTTACTACCAATAAAATTTACATTTGAAATTTCACGAAGCCTTATTTTTAACAGTTTCTAATCGATTTACGGTCATAATAGTGTCCATTCATTTACTTTTAAATTTGTTCCATTTTAAACTTTACCATTACTAATCTTACTAGTATTATAAAGATATTATAAATGTGAATGTTTATATATAGATGGATGTTTGTTAGACTTCGTAGTCTAAATGGTTGAATGGATCTCGACGAAATTTGGAATCGACGTAGAGGATAGTCTAGTAGAACATATAGATTACTCAATTTTTTTTTAATTCGACGCGAACGGATTCGCGGGCGAAAGCTATGTCACGTAAAACCCGTCCAACTGCGACTATAAAATAAAAGTCGTACACACGGCTCGCAATGCAATGTGTAAGATTGATATCCACAGCTCTATTTTTAACGAAGAGATGAAAATTATCTTACGTTGCGTGTTATAAACACCTTTTACACATAAAAGATCTATAAATAATGGTCGTGTTTGTGCTTGAATTGTGCGCGTGCGCTGGCTGTGCGCCAACACGTTGCGCATGCGCGTTAAATAGCTTACATCAATTTTTTCTCGCTTCTTTCTAATTCTGAACGCGTAAACTCGCAGTATAAGTGACAGTGATGGTCTTAAACATAATTATTTAAAATTATATCGTAGTTAGTGATTTATAAAAAGTTTGTGGTGATAATGTCTCCAAAGTGTCCAGTGTCCCCATTACAAGAAGTAACACTCTCTTTAGTTGGTAGACAGTTAATACACGCGCTATCTCGTGTTACAACAGACGAAGATGTCGAATTGCCCTTCGCTATGGTATCCTCTTACTACGAAAGTATGGGAGCTACCAACGACATATTCCAGGATTTACTCAACTTGATACTCAGTTCCGAATACCTCGAACCGTCGATACGATATTTATCAATGAAACTCCTGCTTAAAGAAAATGTGAAGAGTCTTGCGACTGGGATCTTCCCTTGCCAGTATTACAGGAAAGTACTAGAATTGATCACAGAACAAGGTAAACATCTGACTGCCCTCAATTTAAAAGGTGTATGGGTTAAAGATGAACATCTACCATTATTCTATCAGCTGATAAAGAATCTAACAAATTTAACGACTTTAAATATACCGTATATGGCGAATGATGAAGTGCTCAAATTTATAGGTGAACATAACAAAGTGCTCAAATTATTAGACGTGTCAGGTGAGACGGATATCACGGAGATTGGAATAGATGCTATGCTCACAGGGAATCCACAACTTACACAGAGTTTAACTGTAGTTAATATAGGTATGTACGGTGAAGAGAATGTGGATCATACGGATGTCGCTTTGTTGATACGACGTCTGCCTAACCTGACGAATCTCGGAAGCTATTCGTTTGTGGGTAAAGCTATTTATTATATTCACAACAACGACTGCCCGCCGGGATTTAAAACAAAACTACAGTACATGCACGACGCTAGAACTAATTTAAGGACGATGAAAGCAATAGTCGCTCTATGTCCGATGTTGGAGACAATATATTTAGAAGAGCCCGATCAAGGTGTGCTGCAATTGATAAAAGATTTGAGTAATGTAAATAAGATTAAATTAAATAAATTTCAATGTCACGAATTACATCAGCTGTTGGATAAGATAGGTTATAAAATTATAACGCTGATGCTCTCTGCTTCATTGGGGTCGTTCAATTTTACGAGGATAGCCGAAACTTGTACCAATTTAGAAAGTCTGGAATTCTATCAGATACAGACGGCGACTCATGAAGAGGAGGTACCGTTTAACAAGCTGGAACATATCGAAATAATACATGGTAACCTCTCAACGCAATGTTTGAAATATTTAATGACTTCCAGCCCTAAGTTAAAGAAGTTGATCATAGGAGATGAAATTCTTCTGGACGATTGTGATATGTCAAGGTAAGAATCTGTATTAATACAAATAATTTGAGGGTGTGGAAATATTCACGTAGTGTTTTTTAAATGTGTTGTTTTGAAATATCATTTTTAAAACGCTAAACTCTGAATTTTCTAACATATTCTTAGATTAACTGAAAACGTTTCGTAATTAAAAAAAAAAGCGATTCAGTTGATTATTACACTTTTTATACATTTACAGGATGCTCCGTCGCTACAAGTTCCCGTATTTAGAAG